CGGAGGACGGGGGGGCCGACAGGCCCCCCACGTCCGGAGACCCTTGTAACAGGTACCATTGCTTGTTCCCCGGGCAAGTGCGCGCGAGGTTGCGCGCGAGGTTGGGTAAATTTATATTTTATGTAGTAGTCAACGGCTACTCTGCGATGCCCGACGACGTTAGAAGGGGTGCCGCTGCCCCCGCCAAGAACCCCGAGAAGTTCGCCAGCGTCTTAGGGAAGAGGGCAAACGACGCAACACGAATTCTAAGCAAACCCGGGAGTGGCGCATGTTCCCGGTTTTATTCTGGAGTCGCCCCATGCTCGGTTCCGTTCCTTGGGTGCATGTGTTCGTCCCATTTTCTCTGTCGCCAGTCCACACACGAAAAAAAAACACACATACGTGTGTTGCTGCCTTCAATCCGGAAAAAACTCTTAGCCTCCCCAATGCTCCCCTCACGAGGTCCCATAGGCGCATTTAGAAGTGTGAGTGTTTAGTGTTTTTCAACCGGACTGAGACCAACGTCTTTCATTGGTCAGCCGGTTTGCGCGGTCGATGCTAATAATAAATATGCACACACACACGTCTCGGTAGTTTGTAGAAGATGTGAATACATTCCCTTGTTGGCGGTGTTTTGTTGCTGAGTGGGTTCTGTACTGCTGTATGTCTCTTCCCCGCAGTTCTGGCCCTCTACTACTGCTGTAGACTATATAGTCTATCTGGTTTGCAGCTCAGTAAGTAAGCTGCAAACTCAGTCCGCTGCTGCCTGCTATTCGGGACACTTCAAAAAGAGAAAAGGAAGGAGACGTGGTGGCTGTCGGGAGCTGGAACCGTGGCGTGTCCTGTACTGCGCACCTCGCACGCAACGTTTTGTTCGTACGTTCGGCAATAATACATCCACAAATGATACAGATAGATGTCCTTTATTTTGTCTAGTAGACTACAGCACACGGACGCCCTCAATCAAGAAGAATCATTTTAGTTTTTGCATGCATACATTATGGCGTGGGTCGGATGTATGTGGGGTGTATCGACGTCATATGCAGTTTGTCGGTATCGTGGGTCGGTAGTGGGTTGGTCATTTGGTGTACGTACACGGCAGGTCATGTGATCTGAAGAAGGCAGCAGCAGCAGCAGTAAAACAATATGGGTACGGATGGTGTAGAAAGTAGGCCTGTTTTTTTTTTTTTGTCTCCCGTTGTTGGGCTCTGTTGTCTGCCCCTCAGGCCCCTATCCTCCACTTCTACCAGCTTGACGACCCAACCGGGGTCACCTAGGAGGGGGGGGTTGGACCCCTCCTGCGGTTCCTGCCTGAGGTATTTTTATCGCGAGAAGGGTACAGCAATCCCTTCCCTCGCGACTTATGAAGTCGATCAAGTTTTTTCGGTAATCCTCTCGTGACCAGAGACCACGGTCGTCTCGTGACCACCAAGTATCGGCAACCACTTACCAGAAATGTTGAGCAAATATTTGATTGCAGTCAACAACTGTTTCGAAAAGCTGAGCAAATATTTGGTTCCAATCAACTACTGTTTTGAAAAGCTGCGCAAATATTTGGTTGCAGTCAACTACTGTTTTGAAAAGCTGAGCAAATATTTGGTTCCTGTCAACTGCTGTCTTGAAACGCTGCGCAACTATTTGGTTCCGAGCAACTGCTGTCTTGAAAAGCTGCGCAAATATTTGGTTCCAGTCGACTACTATAAGCTGTTTTGAAAGCTGCCGGCGCAAACTTTTGGTTCCTGTCAACTGCTGTCTTGAAGAGCTGCGCAAATATTTGTTTACAGCCTCACCCGTGAAAAGTTTACTAACAACGAGCTTTGCAGCGCGTCGCTTCCAACGGAGACCAGGATTTAATTTGCGAGATTAAACTCACTCTGTCGGAACTCGAATCCATGACCTGGCCCTTCGCAGGATGCGAGGCTACCCACTAGACCACCGGGGCGACCTCTGTGAAACTCTATGGTGTTCCAACCGCTACTTCCTGTTTCATCTATGGTTGTTGTGTTTCATCTATGGTTTCTCGTGGTGTCCCTTTCATGTGGTTGCCCCGCATCGGACCCCCCCCATCACGCCTTATGTGCGCGCGCCCCCCGAAAATTGATACATCAGACGAAGCCGACACCCGGCGGCCAGCAGGCAGATCGGCTTGCGGCGCTCTCTTGTCGGTGGGCGTTGCCCAGGAAGCAGCCATGCGGAGATTTTTCAGCCAGGTGAAGCAGAGTGTCCGATACCGCCAGCTACACAGGCTGGAACACGGTCAAATTAGTCTGAAGGTATCCTGTGTACACTACATATGGTGTACCTGGCCCAGCATCCAGCACAACGCTGTCGGTGGAGCTTTGCTGCTTGGTATACTTCCTGTTAGTGCACGTCCGTGTTGTAAGCGATGCTGCTATTCCCTAGCGTCCGTTCCGCGTCAAGCATGAACGAATGGACTTCAGTGCATGGCGATTTCGCACGAACGACGATCGGTTGCTGGACAACGAAAATACCACCACCGCCGCCATGTTCCGACAGAGCGACGCCGCGCCAAGAACGTTGAATCTGGAACAACGCGCCCATTTATCCGAAATGCGGCGACTACCTACAAGTGCTGCGCGCAATTGGTTGTCGCCGTTTTGTTTAGTTCGACATATGCGCGCACGTGAACTGAATACGTTCATGTTCATATGTAGAGGTCGCCGGCGCCCGTCATGTCGTGAAGCGAATCATGAACCTCTGTTTTCGGGCAGGTCGGCCTCAAGAGCAGCGACGGCGAGGAGCAGCGGGAAGGGCCCGAAACCAACGGTCCGGATGCAGACGCTGCGGATGTGATGGGGTCCTTCGCCTCCCCGAAGCGGCTGGGCCATCATGGTTCGATCAGCGACGCGTGTGTCTTGTCCTACGAACCAACCAACGTGAGTCTCGTCCCGTGTCCGAGGAACCCCTCGTACATCTCGTGACAGAAAATGCAGTTCATGTGTAACGGTCCCCGCTTGGCAACACGCTGCGACGCCAACACAAGAGCGGCGTCTTGCAAGAACATGGACTGGTGTCGGAGCGCTCAATCGTACAGCAAAAAGTGCATTGTGAAACTATCTGCATTTTGTGTTTCTACAGCAGGGATTTTTGTGTGCACCCTTTGCTTTAGGTGCTCCCTCGTCGTCCTTCGAACAAGGCGTACGGGTCTTGAAGGTTTCACCAATACGCAACCAGCTGGAGTACACGATAGCCTCCCTACAGCAGTCAATTGGGAAGACCTTCCATGCATTCTCGCTGCCAATCGGAACTGCTGCTGTTGTTTTGCACGCGCGCCCAGGGACTGATGGCCGTCGCCTCCTGCGGAGGTCTGGTCAAAGTGTTCGGCGGGCCGGGGGTGGAGCTGGTCCTCGAGGAGGAGGGGGCATCCGTCGCCGGCGAGGACCCACCGTCCCACCTGCTCTTCGCGACGCCGAGCCTCCTCGTGGGGGTGACAGCAACGGGTGCTGTGTTGGTGTGGGACCTCGCGGCAGGAGGCCGCGGCGGTAGCATCCCCTCCCCGCCGGACCCCGTCACGGGCCTCGACGAGCGCGTCACGTCCGTTCACGCGCACGGCGGCGGCGACGGCGGCGGCCCCGCCTCCGACGCTCACAAGGAGCGGTACGTATTCCTGGGCTTCGAGAGCGGTCGCGTTCGCGTCGCGCAAGTTTTCCCTGTGTGTCGCGAGTCCGGCTACACCGTGGAGCCTCAGAACACGAGCCACGGAGCACCCGATGAGCTGCTGCAAGCGCCCGGCAAGAGTCTTGGGGCCGTCACCGCCATCGCATCTTTCGGAGATCGGGACGGCTGCGGTGGGTTTGGCATTTTTGGACACCGGTGCGGCGGAATCGTGGTCTGGGATTGGGTCCGCCGGAAGCGACTCGCGCTCCGGAGCCTGGGCAAGTCGCAAGGCAAGAAGGAGGACGACGACGACGACTACGAGGAGGAGAACTTCGAGGACCAGAAAGGTCACGAGGTGACGAGCCTGGCGTTGCACCCTTCCGGCGAGGCGTTCGCGGCCGGGTTCGCGGCCGGCTGCTACGCGGTCTTCTCCGTCTCCTCGTCACCCTCGCACGAGGCCGACCTGCCACGGTGGGTGCGCGAGGTCGGGGACGACGGCTCGTGCCCGAGGGAAGGGCCGACCATCGTGCGAACGGCGGTCTCCCTGGTGCAGTGGGTGCGCGTGCGCGGGGCCGGGGTCGGCCGGACGTCGGGGCTTGTCGTGGCAGGCGGCGTCGAGATCGAGGAGGGCGAGGAGCCCGACGGGGTAAGCCTGCTGGTGCTGTCAACTGAGGCTGTCGGCGCGCGTGGCGGCGGCGGCGGCGGGAGGGCCTTGAAGAAGAAGGACGTCGTCACGGCGGCGAAGGCCGCGCTCGAGACCGCTGTTTTCGTGCCCTTCGCTATGGGACAAGAGAGGCTGTCCCACGTACATTGTGTGCTCTCGGGTGCAGGGGCGCCGACACAAGAGCCTCATTGGGCAGGAACGAGGTCTTCCGGCGACCTGTCTGAGGACGCGAGCGTCGACGGCAAGGATGAGCCAGAACCAGCAGCGGCGCAGGAGGACGAGGTCGAGGTAGTCGAGGAGCTGGTCGTCCTCGGGCTGGTGAAGTGGAACGAGGAATTTCTAGGCGACGACGGAAGGCTGCACTTTAGGCTCGCTTCGTCCATCCAGGCCTGCCCGATCCGGACGAGCCCCTACGTGGCTCTGCTGCAGCTGGCGCCGGAGAGGTTCGGACCGCACCTCTCGGGGTTTGCGACGGTCACGGCGGTCGCGTGTACGCCGCTCCTGTCCTCGTCCACGATCCTCGACTTCATGACGTGCTTGGGGGCCGAACAGGCGGAGGAGGAGGGTCAAAACGGCTCGCAGACCACGGCGCCCCCCCTCCTGCGAGGCGGTTACCTCCGATGGCCCGACAGTGTCCCTTCCCGCAGGCGCGACGAAGCCCTGGGCACCAGCGAGCTCCTCGTCGCGGGCCACTCGGACGGGTCGCTCAGCTTCTGGGAGTGCTGCGGACCGGCATCGAGGCAGGACGCGGTCTGCCTCTCGGAGGGCAGGGTGGTCATGCGCGAGGTCCCCTCGGGGGCCGTCCTGCTGGGCTCCGTGCCGGCCGCCGGTTTGGGGTCCCCCGAAGAGGGCGCGGGAAACGCCGCCGTGACCGCGCTCGACGTGTGGGTTGAGCGCGACCACGTCGCGGCGGCGGTGCCGGCGGGGCGCAACGCTTGCTGGGTGGCGGTCGGCCTCGAGAGCGGGGACGCCAGGGTGATCGTTTTGTCCAACAGGATGGAAGCCGGGAGCAGCAGCCCAGATTTTCCATGCGGTAGCGGCGGTAGCAGTAAGGCAAGGTCGGGGGGGGGCACGCCACTGGCAGAGAAACCCGTAGAGGTTTCTGACGTGAAGCTGGGCGATGACGGAACGACCGGCGATGCTTCGGCGAAAGGCAGCAGCGGCGGCGGTCGACTGTTGAAACGGTTCTTGAAGCGCGGAGCGGGGCAGCAGCCGTCTCTCGGGGACGAGGAGGGCGCAATGGAAGACACCGAGCTGGAAGCGGCTATCGCGCAGGCACGGGCAGAAGCGCGCGCGATTGTGGCGCTCGAGGAATCGAGGGAAGGGGCTCCGGGGAATGCTGAAACGGCAGAACCTCGAGGGGCGGCGGTTGACGATGCGCGAAAACGCGAATCCGTTGGGGGGGAAGGGGAGGCGCAGGAGACCGACGATCAAGGAGAGAGCGATCATCTTCGGCAAGAGCTTTCGGAGGCCATGGCCGACGAGGGCGCGTGGAGCGGATCCGTCATGCCACCTTCGCCCAAACGACCGCCTACGAAGCACACCCCGGAGGCAGAGACCGGAGAAGAAGAGAAGCTCCCCCTGGACGAACCCCCGAAAGCCTCACTGATACAGCTCGCGCTCAGGCTGCACAGCCACGCGGTTCGGTGCGTCGCCCTGTCGTTCGACGCGCGGGGGTCGGCCCTGGCTCTCGTCGTAGCGGATGAGGCGGGCGTCGTCTCCGTGACGGATGTCTCCACCGGCTCCGCCTCGCTTCTGCCCATGCGGGTCCCGCAGTCCAGACCCTGCCGTCCGAGCGTCACGATCGGCCCTATGCCAAGTGCCCTTTCGGGGGGGGCAGCCCCAAAACCCGGCGCTTCCGGGGCACTATTTGTCTTACTGGAGGGGTGGCTCAACGTCTTCGACCTTGCATCCAGGGACCCCGTCGATTTTGTTCAGGTACCTGGGCTTGCGCCGCCGAGTGACGATAGCCATAATAGCGGCGGTGGCGGCGGCGGCGGCAGAGCCGGTATTCGGGAAGATGATTTCGCCGGGTCCGCAGGGAGAACAAGGAGTCGTGAGCGGGGCGAAGAAACCCCCTGGCTTGCCTGCGTGGACAACCGCGGCCTGCCGCTCCTGCCGTACGCGTCGGAACCGTTCAGCTCTTCCTTTAGCCCCCCGCCACGAGAGGATGATGCCAGCACGGACGCCGACGGCGGGAAAATCGACCCAGAAGATGCCCCCGTTCACTCGCACACCATTTGGGTCTCTCCCGTGCCCTCGCGCACCGCGCTCGACGACTACCACGAGCACGAACTGCAGGTTCTCAGCGACACACCGCCGCCGGAACCGTTGTTATTGGTAGTACGCGGGGCGACGGCAGTCGTCCTCGCTATCTCCCGGAGGGACGCCGATGGCGTTACGTCATCAGTGTTTGCCCGGCGGGGCTCGGTCTCTCCCGACGCGGCGACTTTCAAGGGAAGGTCGGGCGCCGAGCTGGTTGTGCGGTCTCGGGGGACGTTGCCGCCGGCCGGGAGAAGCGCGGTGCCGCCGACGATCGACGGCGTCGGTGTCTGCATGGTGGCGGCGGCGGGGGGGAGAGGGCTAGAACGTGAGGCGGGGCGACGCGGGTGCCTCATCGCTGCCGACTCTTCTGGTTTCGTGACGGGTCTTCTCCTTCCTTCCCTCTGCCCTGTCTTCCGCGACCGGCTTCCTACGAGCGGCGACGATGCCGAATTGCGAAGAGGCGCGCCGTCGCTGGCGCAGAAGTCCGTGTGCAATTTCGTCGGGGAGCTCACGCTCCAAGGGATGGCAGGGGTGAGCGGCCGTTGTTGTGTGGTTGTGTTACGTGTTTTTTGGCCGGCGTTAACAAGAGACCCTCGTTGGCAGTGTGTGTGTGCCCTCCGCTCTCTTCTATTTTCCGGAGGGGCAATCTAGCAGTGGTACACAGTAGCAGGTTATCAAGCGCTTCGGAGTGTCGGCCACCGCGCCGCAGGTTGACCAGCCTCGTGTGTGTTGGTGGGAATTGTTGCCTTCATTTCAACAAAAATTGCGACCTCTTATCCGGCAACTCCTCTTCTGAACTAGTGAAGGCGAAGACACAAATGTGTCGGCCACGCCATCACGTCACGTCATCGAACATTGCAGTTTGTACACAGCACGGATACATGAGACTCATGGACGCCCCTCCCCTGTCGCAGCAGGAGTTGACCCGGTGGTCAGTGCTGACAGACGAAGCTTGCGACGCGCTGATGGACTCCAAGCCTCGCTTGGTCAAAATATCTACCCTGGCGAGGCCGGCTGCGATGAGCAGGCAGTCCTCCACCGGCGATGACAACAACAACAGCGGCGGCGGCGGCGGCGGAGGGACCCTGTCGCCTTCCAGGGGGAGATCCGCAAGGGGGATGCTGGGCAGACTGTCGCTGGGCGGGTCGAAAAAGAACATAGCCGATGTGTTCGCTGTCGAACCCTCGTTCCGAAAGGATTCAATACGTGGGGACAGCGGGAGCACACGCTCCTTGCTTTCGTCCAGCGCTGGCGGTTCATCCGGTCGTGCGGCAGGGGGCATGGGGGGCGGGCAAACGGAGCAGCACCAACGCGATGCTCTGTTCGGGCAGCGAGAAGCCGGGGCCGGCGGCGGCGGTGAGACGTCGGCGGTGGGCGGGGCTCGCGGCGGCGTTAGCGGCGCCCATGCGGCGGCTAGCGAAGCCCGCGACCTGGCGATCGAGAGAGGAGAGAAATTGGAACATTTAGTCGATAGGTCGCGCCAGCTCGAGGACAGCGCGATGGCATTTGGCGACATGGCCAAGCAGCTCCGGAAGCAGCAAGAAGACGAAGCGTGTTGCGTCTCGTAGATTGTATCTACATGGGTTCTTGGTGTGTGGCAATCAATGCTGTTGTTCTGAAGAACGACGGTCTGGTTGGTTTCCGATGTGTTGAAGTGTGTTTGTACGCCGCACCCCCAACTTCAGGCAACGGGGATCTACCTTGAGATACTTTTCCACAACAGCGTTAGTTCAGGATAAACGGGGCTGACCGAAGTTCCGGGGGCGCTAATCTCTGTTGATCCTTGGCCCAAAAAAGTCTTGGGAAAATATCGCTCTTCTAGATGCGCCTTGTCTCGCAAAACGGACCCGCCTGTTGCAAGGCACTTGACGTCTTGCGGAAGGCATTTGGATGGGATAGGCAGGAGAATGGATGGCTGTCACAGAAGTTTCGCGAGACAGGCAGACTTGCTCAGGCAACGTTTTTGACAGAGCAACGGACGGTGCGATGTGTACGACGGCCGAAATATTCCAGTCCAGCAGGTCTGACCATTGAGCGTCCATGGTGTTTGTACTGCGAAATCACATGTTGGCATGCGACAGCGAGTGTTTTCGGGTGTTATGTGGGCGCTCTTGTGGGATGACGTGGGGCTACCGCAGCATATGGGAGGGCGGGGAGGACTTGGCGGTGCGGTTTCTCTGGGGGTGGACGGAGGCAACGAATGGCCAGGAGACCTAGGACATACAGTTTATGACATGTTGTTTTGGGGTCAACACCGAACGCGCAGATTAACGTACATGTCGAGCGCAGCATGATGAAGAATCCTGGAAATTCTTATTCGTACATCAACGTGCGCAATAACGAAACCTGAAACACGGGACAAACAACCCATGAGTTCTCCGAACCAACTCGTTGGCTCCAAGATGCTGATAAGACCAAAATATTGAAACCTCTCACAGAAAGGACCCCGACACAATCGTACGTTCGCCACAACTCTAAATTTGTCCAGCTCCGCCAAGACATGCTCCGGCACGGCTTTATCCACTACGCACTTGCGGTATTGCGCTGGCCGCAAGGATCGAAGCTGTAAGAAGCTGCCTTCCGTTTTCACAAAGAAACGCCCATCACCAATAACTTACGAACACCCGCAAACCACGTCTGTCTACGTCTACGTAACAACCAACCACACCCTGCCTCCCCTGATAAGCCCATTTTTTTTACAAAATGTGGTTGTTGAGCGTGTCCATCGCGATGAGGATCGCGGCGTAGGGATACCGCGAGCGCATTGCCGGCACCACCAGCATGGGGGCGAAGGACCCCGCCGAAGCGATGAGAACGTTCCAGAAATCGTCCTCTTTTCGCGCCAGCTTCGCCCCGTACTTCATCCCCTGATAGGTGCAGAAGAACCTGCCGGTCCAAAACAGGCCGTGTGCGTTTCGCAGTTCACACGGAGTTGAGCACCTTACCCCAACCCCAGTTGCAAGCCAGATTGGGAGTCGCACGAGGAACGATGAGAGGAGAGAGGCAAAGACACCAGGCACAACACGCTGCCTGCGCTTCATACAGTACTTTAAGAACCAGACTATTGCTGAATGTATATAGTTGTCTGAAAAATATGCTTATTGTATCTGTGCACTAAACTTGACCGGCGTTTTAGACTATGCTACGCGCTCGGCGACCAGGTCGAAGCGATCGAAACTGCTGTGAGAGTGATTGCGGGTGGACGTGTTTGAAAACGTAACACGGTATATTCGTACATCCGTCCAGCTGTCTCTACGAAATCAGCGTCGGCAGCAGTCACTGTTTTGTGCCTTCCGGCCAAGTGCAGACGCTGTCGGTTTGTTGCCCAGTGGCTTACACCTCACGATGGCTCGCCCCGCTGCGAACGCGAAAAGACAAGGACGTACTTCGCATACGCACGAACAGGGTGTTCACCGTAGAACTCACCCAGTGAAAATTGTGCCCGACAGAGCCGTAAGTCTCGTGAATTCCTTCGTTTTGAGCGCTGTGGTCGGGAATTTCCCCATCGAATCGTCGCGGATGGCTCGATGGCCGTCCACTGCGACAGTAACGTTAGGACAACATAAGTGCAGCAGCAATGTTGGATGAAGGGTGCAAGATCACCAATCAGTGGTCTGCCTCGGTGTCCACCTGGGCTTTTTGATGCTGAGTATCGAACCTGCCCATCGGCGAGACGTTATTGTATGTCCAGAGCCTGCAGGTGAGCAACTCGTGTGCATACACCTTATAATGTGGGGCATGTGATACGTGCAGATCTACGGGCGTACAATCTTCCATGTCAACGCGGCTTCCGAGATGCAGCAGAAAGTTGTAGGCAGGATCCACGTCACCATGGATTGTAGCCTACGCTTGTCTGCATGTGAGCGCACATCAACCCTTTCACCTCCGACTCACTTGCTCCGAACGTTATCCCCGTGACGCCCCCGACCTGTTGAAGATTGATACACGCGAGAAACAAGGCGTAGCGAGGCAGAAGTCAGCCATTGTGATACACTCAAATGTCGGAGGTACATACTGCTGTAGTGCTGTAGTGGACCAACCACCTAACAGACACAAAGGCCGCCTTCCGAACGTCATCCCACGAGGAGTAGATGACATAAAAGTGCAAGCCATCGCGCACTACCTAGACTCTTAAAGCTCGAGTGCTCCACAAACAAAGAGGGTTCGCAAACCGACCGATACGTGCAAGGAAGGCTGTCGAAGACGCTAACCCAAACACGACCCTGGTCGGCATTGGCAGCCCCCTTAATTGTGGACAGGCGGCGCAAAAACCGATGTGGGAAAGTAATGTGCGGTAGCAGTAGTAGGTCTGGTTGCCAACACAGCAGTGTCTGCGGTAGCGGGAGGGGAAGAACAAGCACATATCCGTGTCCGTCACTCACAATGCCCCCAAAGGCCATGCGTTTGCCAAAGTCCGTGACATCCCATGCGATTTCAGGCTCCCCGTCCTTGTCCAAGGGCGGCGCCTTTCCGCCGCCTGGAAACTCTGCCGCGGCTCTCTCGCGCTGATCTCGTGGATTGGGCCTCAGTGTCGACCATGGAACGTTCACGGTCATCTTCTACCAGCTCTCTTTGAAGACACAAGAAGACACTTTGCCGTCGTCTGCCGCTGCTGGCTGCTTGCTGCAGCTTGCTGCTGCAGTTGGCATCCTGTAGGACAGAGAGAGCAGGCAGCAGAGAGCAGAGAGCAGCAACACAGACCGATTTGATTGGCCGATCTGGACAGCCCCGCCGGCATGGCCGGCCTGCCGAAAAGAAACAAACAGACCCGACCGACAACGACAGACTGACAGAGCAAAGAGCAAAGTGACCGAAGGCCTGCGGATGGCCGAGTTCGGGGCGAAGTTGTGCTCATACCCTGGCTGTCGTCAACACGACTTTCTTCCATATGCTTGCGCAGCATGTCGCCAGGTATTTTGCTCCGATCACATGGCGATCGGCAGCGGGCATCGATGCGACCATGGAGAGGAGTACCTGGCGTCGGTAAGATTCTGCTGGAGGTGACAACTACATACTGCTGTGGTCTACGCTGTGTGCGGTACCTGCGCGTAGGTGCACGTCGCACATGTTCAAGGTCTTACACTCTGGTACGTAGCTTAAAGGAGTTATTGCCCGACATTACCTTTAGCAGCCTCCACACAAACAAATCCTCAAGAGCAATAAAAGACTACACCAGTATGGATGACATGGGAGTACACGCGGACATCCATCTACTCTGTACACGTAGCATACGCATGAATATAGACAAGTATGCACCCCAAGAGGCAGGTACAAAGCCACAAGAGCAGTATTTAATGTGTTAAATGTCAGACTCAGGACGGATGCCTTCTCACCCATCTCCTTTGGGTGCAGCGAAATGGTAAAGGCGGGAGAATCGCTGCTCCAGGGTCACACCGTCTCTCGCTCAGCAAACCGTCGGAGGTGATGTCTGCCGTCACGTCTCGGTTCGACGGTCGCGAGAAGGAGCTAAATGCTGTGACGACGCACTTCAATATCAAGGCTTCAGAGGGGGAGGCGGGTGAAGGAAGCGCTGGGGCACCTGACAAGTGAGAAAGCAACCACGACAACGACGCCGGCGTTCATGTTGAAGGACTCGCAAGTGCCGATGACCCCCTCCTGTCATTTCCCGCGCTCGTCAGAAGAGTGACTCTTCGTCTTAAACCTACCTAAGAGCCTTGATTGACTACCCCATTCCGGAACCCTAACTAACACTACCGGTTGAGTCACTTGTTGCTGGAAGTGCCTTTGAGCCTTCGCCGTTGCTACTATCAAGAGACACGGCTTAATTCTTGCGCTTCCTGCCCGAGCAACCGTCCGCCAGGCAGCTCCAGGTATCCATGACCCCGAACCGGAAACTTCCTTACAATACACCCAGACTATTGAGGAACTCTCAGCTAGCCATGGACAAGGCGGCGACGGAGAAGGGGAAGAGGGTGTCAACCCAGGTCCATCGCATGCTTCTGAAGGCGAAAGCGGTGGGAGACAAGAAGCTGCGAATGGAAGACCGCTTCTTCCTTGAGGTGCATTACTGGTGAGCGAGATCCAATCAAGCGTGCGCACTCTCTTTTCCAGGGTTTTTCACGGAGCTTTTTTTTTCTACGGAGGGGCGGAGCAGAGCGGTTTGAACCGCTCCGCTCCGTGACAATTTTGTCCTCGGTTAAACCGCTCCGTGAGGTTTTCCAATGCGTACGTACATTACGAGGGTTTTTTCACGGAGCTAGTTTGAGCTACTCCGTCAGATAAACCCCGGTATTTACCGCAGTAGAGCTTCGGTTTTCCACGGAGTCACGGGTTTTGCACGACGCGATGTGTGTGCACGGGCTTCCGCGTAGTCCATACACCCACATAAAAACATGAACACAAAAGAAACAATAACAAACGTGCGCACCTGCGCACCGCCCCCCGCCCCCCCCCACACACATTACGTGCACCTTTGCATGGACAAGTGACAAGACTAGTTGCCAAGAGAAGAGAGGGGGGTTGCATGGTTGGGTTCGTGTATTGCCACTGTTGGCAGGCAATTTGTTGGCAGCAATGTCGCCCCCGACCGTGGCGAGATGGTTCTGTTCCTCATATGTCGAAGCCCGATTTTACCCCGGAGATGGAACAGCAGCTGGACCATTTGTGTGTCACATGAGTTAGGGAACTGCTTACTCAGTCTGTTGCGAAGGCTAACGCTGCAACTGCCCAAGCTTCTCGAGCGGGAGAGCAAGTGGTTGCCGACTTCGAATCTAACTGAGTGTAGCAGGGACGTCTGTCTGTATTTGGGCGTCGTGCTCTCTTGTTGTGAGTTGTGAATAATACCTGAGACGCCTGGCGGACCCTAACACCGGCATGGCGAGTTCAAAGAAGAGGGAGAGAGAGGCAAGTTTAGTACGTGTCGCAAAAACGAATAGGTCGAGGAGGTATCCATATCGGCAATGGTCCCTTCACCTGACTACAACAAACTGATGAACGTTTTCGCTCGCTTGGGCTGTTCTGGCTCCCAGGACACGTACGGTGTCACGGGTGACCTCCACACACAGCCCCCACCGTGCCGAACATCGATTGTCGATGTATCGAACCCAACGTATCGCTCAAAATCGTAGGTACTCCGTCACTGTATCCGAATATCCGAATGATTTCAACGTTTTTTTATCACGGTGCACCGTCGTCAAGCGTCAAGGCCTCGGTTTCGCGCGGTTCATGCTACGGAGGAAATCAAACCGCTCAGTAAAAAAAGTGCCACGGATTAACCGCCCCTCTCCGCTCCGTGACATGAACACGAACAACCGCTCCGCTTTTTCGAACTGTTCCCCTCGGATAAACCGCTCCGATCCGCTCCGTGACTACGACAACAGGCAAAACCGCTCCGTGAAAAAATTTCAAGTAAAAAGAATAATACACGGAGCGGTTCTACTCCATGAACAACCAAATCCTGCTACTGCTCGTCGGCTGAGTGCGTGTGCTTTGTTCTCTGTCGTTTGATTGTCGTACAATACGGAGGTGTAACCAGGAAACAGCGCTATTTTTTCATCATAGCGTAATTCGTTTTCCTTTTGCAGCTGTCGTGGCACTAATTCTTCGCTTCAAGAGAGGTTTTGAGGGAACTCTCGAGATGCTCCTCATCTCTGTACTTGTCTGCCGCTCTGTCCCTGTGCCCCACCCGTGTTGGCCTTCTCCTCCTTCTGTTCCTTTCGCTGTCCTCGGCCGGAAAAATATCTGCCGTCTTGTCAATAGTGGCAACGACACCGACGTGCACCACCTTTTCTTCTCCCGCCTGTGGACGGTCGGCCGAGCTCTGGACGACATCTTGAAAACCCGGCGACGGCATCTGCGGCTGAAGGCTGGGGAGGAAGCTCGGCCGCTGGAGCTCGCGCGGGTCGGCGCGAGTAGCGGGCTGCCAACAGGTGGGTACACGAGCGTGGTTGTCTCTTGCCAACACAAGAAGTCAACACACGCGTCTTGCTGTGGCCGGAAAAAGAGAAAGGGAGAGAGGGAGTAAATCGTATATTCACGGCTGTATATCACCGGTGCCCGATGCATTGTGCCCTTAACCGTAAGCGAGAGACCAGGGCTGGTCTTGTCTTCAGGGGTCCTTTGGTAGATGCAACCGTGCTACGTGTGTCAGGTACACGAATAAATCCGGTTGGGGGGTTCTCGAGCAACCCAGTGTCTACGGGACCCGCTTGAAGGCTGCGTCCGTCGCCTGGGAGGTACCCTTTCTCTTGCAGATCCAGTCCGAGCAGCGGGTTCGTGAACCAGGCTGCGACGATCGTTCACGCGCCGACTCGACTTGGTGCAGGGTGTTGCTTGCACGCACGATGACACTTCGTGCATCTATTTACTTACCGAACCTGGACACGCGTTTGTCGTATGTACGAACTGCCTTTTTTTTCACCCAGGGGGGATCTTCACCAACTTACCCCCGGAGCAACTGCAGTTGTTCGACGCTGTCATGGTGCGGCCACGAACCCTACCGCGAGCCGGTTCTTCTGCCTCCGATATCTCGGCGGAGGGAGGCAGCAGCGACTCCACCGTTGCCGCTCCGGGGTTGAACGTGGAGAGTGCGCCGGATGACTTGAAAGGGAGTGGTATTGGCGGTGACGAGGAGCCCTCGGAGCAACAGCAGCGGCAGACGGGACACGTTTTGAGCACTTGTGCTGTAGGAGCGAAATCATCAGGGTTTGAAGAGGCAGTTGCAGGTTCGGGCGTGACGTCGGCGGCAGCAGGAACGCCAGCGACGAACGCCGGCGGCGGGGCTAGCGAAGAAGGAGGCGGAGGAGGGGGCATGACCATTACGGTGAGTCAAGCGAGTGGGATGGTTCGGGTTGCTCGTTTCGCATGTTTTGCATCCCAGAAGTCTGGAGGCAGTTGCAAGACTTGCGGGAAACTCCCCGCCTTTTCCCGTCGACGCTGTCGAGGACATCCGGTTGTGTGGCGTGGCCAAGGGGTGAAGCAAGGCATCCTGGTGTCCTGTCGCTCTTGTTACGTTAGTTTTATTTTTCTGCGGATGGTACCTTTTGGTTGTTCTCCCTCCTGAACATCGCCGTGACCCCAAAGGATTTGATTCTGTCGGGGAGGGCTCCCTGCCCTAAATCCACAAGTTGATCACCTTTACAATGGTTGCGTTCATCGCCCTACGCGCGCGTTTAGCTTTATGCTTTCGTATTGTGTGTCGGTGTGGTAAGACTATGCAGCATGCTTGACGAACGTTAGGTTCGCCGGCTCGCTCGTAGCGCACTTCTTCGGGTGTTTCGTGTCCCAGTCTCGCGTTTGCGAAACCGCTGCTGCTACAGCTGCTGCTGCTGCTGCTGCTGCTGATGCCACGGGTGCTCCGCTGCCCACGCCCGGCGACGGAATAGGTTTGCCATGGCAAGTCTGTCTACGAGCTTGGCGGAGTGATGCCCGACCGAATGAGCGTGCTTGACCTTAAGCGACGGCTGGAACCCATCACCGGCGTGCCGTTCCTACGGCAGAAGCTCTTGTTCAAAGGCATTTTGCGCGACGGGGACAAGATCGGCGCAACGAAGATTGTGGAGGGGGCAAAAGTCATGCTCCTTGGCACGGCCGCTGCTGCGAAAAAGTGACTCGGCTCCGGCCGGCTTGCTCTTCGCACGGAATAGAACAAGGGACCGGTTTTGCTGTAAAAGATGCAGCTTAGTTCAGTGTGTTGAACATGTACAAATGTGTACATAGTTTGAGTGGTGCATCATGTAGTTCATCATCAAGCGGCGCATTTATTGCGAGCAGATCTACATGTACACGTGTACCAAATGAAGCGGTGTTCCCCCCCTCCCCTGTACCGCCTCGTGCCCACCACCTGCCGTGTCGAAAGACAGAAGCGAGTTTTTATTAATTGCTGATTGTAGGGTGTTCGCGCTTGGACCCAGAGGAGCAACACCCGCTCTCGCTGTCGGTGCGTGTTTTTCCCTGTACCAGAGGGTTTACGCACACAACAGGATATGCATACGGTGCGTGAGTGCTGCGTAACAAGGACGCTGGACATTCACCAAAAACACAATACAATCTGTAGCGCAGTACGTGTGACGGACCTTAACGAAGCAAATACCGCAGGTGCCACGATATAGTGCCGGTGCCCGGTAGAGTGCCGGCCACATCTATGGGCACGAGTGCCCACCCCTATACTACCGATATATCCCTGTTGTGAATAGTGCCGGTGTCAGGTACACTGCCGGTCAAACCTTTGGGCACATGCCGGGACAATATCGAGACAACTATGCATACCGCCATCAACGTGGCAATACTAATCCGTTCACTGGGGTGTACATCAAGTGTACATCATGATGTGTTGTTTCGTCACATGTGACGATACACGTGAACACCGTCACCTGGGATTGTGTCGTAGATAGTTGTGACGTGCTCCGATGAGGAGATCACCAGCTGGGGGTAGCAACGTAGCAGAGTGTAGCCAACCGACCAGCTCCAGCAATGTTTACACAATGATGGTACAAGTTGGTCTGACCAAGGAGCGAGTATGAAGGTTGGAGCGGATTTCCCACGCGGTTTTTTCGAACTAGACTCTTGTCTGAAGTTTTGACACGGCATCTGCATGAGTACAACAAATAAAATAGCCACTGCGCCATTTGGATTCCTATTTTTCATGAGTTAGGCCGATATTAGACTAGTATTCATGGGAATATTTGCTATGCGAAAAAGTCGTAGAAAAAAAGAAAAAAGTCAAATGGCACAAGTGGCTTTTTCATTTGTTGTACTCATGAGGATGCCGTGTCGAATATTTCAGGTTCTAAATTTAATTTGAAAAAAACGCGCTGGAATCGCGACATCTTCACATTCCCTCAGGTATTTTGCGTGTTGTATTGAGAGTGTTTACGAGGCTATCACTTCTGATGGAAGATGCCGTGAGCCTTGAAACTACAGTAGGTGTGCCGATATAGTGCCGGTATGTGTCCAGGCGATTTGACCGGCACTATACCGGGCACCGGCACTATTCAGATTTGTGACTGAACAGTGCCAAACCGGCACTATTCAGGGCCTGAAAATCCCTCTATAGTGCCGGCTTGGCACTTTTCAGGACTGTTCGACTTCAGAGTGCAGCGCTTGCGCTTTGCGGGGCTGATAGAGTACCAAACGAACGGTATTTGGATCAATCGTGAGGTGGGCGACGTGGGCGGGCTTCATTACGTTTCGTGGGGCTCTTGGACTGTCGAAAATACGGCAATGGTCAGATAAATTGTACTTGATTGACCAGATAGATTTGTTGCAAAGAAGTTGCTGAAACTTCGTGAGCGCGTCTAAAGCGGCGAAAGAAGAGCGTAAGGGTGGCTGAGGTTGTCGTGCGGAATCGGCTCAATAAAAAAAGTGCGTGGTTTGGAGCTTCCGAATGAGGTCGACGTACGTACGCACCAAACAGGTACATCGAGACTCTCAACAGGTACAAACGTACCTTAGAGAGCGGCCTCACGCTGAAACTTCGTGAGCGCGTCTAAAGCGGCGAAAGAAGAGCGTAAGGGTGGCTGAGGTTGTCGTGCGGAATCGGCTCAATAAAAAAAGTGCGTGGTTTGGAGCTTCCGAATGAGGTCGACGTACGTACGCACCAAACAGGTACATCGAGACTCTCAACAGGTACATACGTACCTGAGAGAGCGGCCTCACGCTGAAACTTCGTGAGAACGTCTAAAGCGGCGAAAGAAGAGCGCAAGGGTGGCTAGGGTTGTCGTGCGGAATCGGCTCAAAAAAGTGCGTAGTTTGGAGCTTCCGAATGAGGTCGACGTACGTACGCACCAAAAAAATATTTTCCGCTGGTATATTCTCAACAGGTAGATACATACGTAACCTCGCAGCCTGCTAGGGCCAGGTCATGGGTTCAAGTCCTGGCAGAGTGAGTTTTTTTCTCACGAAATAAATCCTGGTCTAGGATGAAAGCGACGCGCTGCACAGCTCGTCGTTGTTAAACCATAATCGACTTCGTAAGTCGCGAGAGAAGGGATTGCTGTACCCTTCTCGCGATAAAAATAATACCTCAGGTAGGAAAGGAACCGCAGGACGGGGTCCAGCCCCCCCCTCCTATGTGACCCCGGTTGGGTCGTCTAGCTGGTAGAAGTGAAGGATAGGGGCCAGAGGGGCAGACGACAGAGTCCAATGATGGGAGAAAAAAAAAAGCGTAGACTACAACAACCTGAGAGAATTTCCTTAGGTTTTCCTGAAACAAAGAGCTTGTACGCTTGTACGCTTGTCTCGCGCAATTCAAGCGGGCGCGTCGGACGTTAGGATGAAAGATATAGCGTCGATGGCGCCATGTTGTTCGCAAATGCAGCGGAACATGGAGGGGTCCTTGTCGGTTCCTCCGTTGGTGTCGTAGAGCAGGCGCGCAACCTTGCGGCAGATGCCGCAGGCGTAGTCTTTGTTGTCCTCGATCTTGCGAACTTTCTCTTTGCAGACGCGTCCATCGGCGTGGGTGTAGATGCGGTCTTTCAGTTCACCCATTCCGAGGTACAGGGTGCAAAGCCCGATAGGGGCGGCGAAGCTCTGGCAGTTGAAGGAGACGTTAGGCTTCCCGCGGCGGGCGACCCTGGCGATGGCGTTCGACTTAGGAATGATCTTCCGGCATCCGCCACAGCTGTCGATCAGCAAAAAACAGTCGAGGAAGGGGATGGGCGAGAGGGCATGATGACACAGAGTTGAAGTTTCGGCATGATGTAACGGCAAAGTGCAGCGTGCAGGAGACCGGTGCGTCATGTTGGAGCGTCGCACCCATAGAACACATCGCTAGAAGATGATTTTACGAAATATGAAACAGGGTGGATCATCCAAAAGCATTCAAAGGGGTTAATTTTTCAAAGCGTTTTTTTGCCAAAGTACGGAAAACATGAAATGATCCGCGTGCATAACCACTCGCTTGTCGAGGCGATCCATATGCACGTGTTATGTATGCCATGTGCTCCCGCAGTCTGGAAGCTGCTGAGTGCCCCCAAGGGTGTTCACAATGGCTCTCGTTGTTTCAAATCTGAACCGTGCTATCTCCGCTTTCTCTGGAACTGTGGAAACGCCCCTCTCTGCCCCATCGTAAACAGCCCCTGAAGGAACAGGAATTCGAAGCGAGGATGGACGCGCTAAAGGCTCTGTCTGGGACGTCCTCCCCAGGCTCAGACCGGCAGGGAAGTAAGGGCCAGACCTCCACTGCAACCGCAGCCCTCGCCACGGTGTGCTTCCCCGCTGTAGTTAATATTCAGGATTTATCGCGTCAGTCAGACAGCGCACGGTCAAAAACGTGCTAACGTGCAGCAAACCAATATCCGAATGGGTCCGAAGATCTTTTGCTGAGTGGTTCGGTGAATCCGCGCAGCGTAAACGCGTCGAACAGGAACTTGTTTTTTTTCCAGGGTCGTTCTGAACGAAGATAGCCCCTTCATCTTGCATCGGGTTTGTAGTTAACACCCGGGAGAATAACGTAGATACGTATGTACGTATATTTCCACGGCCAAGTACTGTGTCACTTACCCTTCGTCAAGTGGCTTGAGAGCTCGCATAAATCCCAAGACAAAACGACAAGACTAACGGCGGGTAGTTGTGCGCCGATCTATAGCCTCACGAAGATCCTCTGGTGGCCAAAATGATAATGCATGAAGCCCCTTCTGGTGGCCACAAGGTTCGTTTCAGCATTTTTCCCATTCCGTCTGCGGAAAATAAATATCGGTTTCGTTGGCCCACAAGCTTCCCTGAAGGTGTTCATATTCCCCGCATCCCCCCGTCCTATCGCACACATTTGCCGCCGTATCGTCCGCTGCCTCGCCCTCTTCAGTGAAGTTCACGGCGTCGTTGACGACAAAAGCCTGTGAGATGAACAAGGCTACGTTCTTCCATTGTTAAACAGCTTCGGGGAAACCCTCGATCTCATCGCGGAGAAGAACCTGCAGGAGAAGGCCTTCAACCAGCCGTGAGTGTAGTTTCTCTCCTAGGACAGCCAACCGAAGATATGCTACACCGGCCATGCCCAGTGAATTTATGCGCACCAATGTTTTGCCCAATAGGCGTCGGGCCATGACTTTCCTGTCGCTGTGTCGGGGGTGTCTGAAGTTGGGAACGTTTTGGGCTTTTGATTCACTCTCATGTCCCTCCACTCCCCCTCCGCTTGCAGGGTGCGACACCGTTTGGGCCGTGTCTTCGACAAGGTTGTAAAGGCTAGGAATCTGACGGCGGAGATTATCACGTCGAAAGCGATCGCGAATCAGATCTTGAAGCTGTACCTTACGGCCTCAAGTTCTGCATCGGCCGCGGTTGGATTGGCAGACGGCGCGAGGGACGCCGGGACAGCAGGAGAGGGTTCTCGAGTCCTGCATCGGTCGCGGTTGGAGCGGCAGACGGGGCTGGGGACGCCGGAACAGCAGGAGAGGGTCCTGGATAAAGGCTGCCCCCTCTCAGTGCCGTGGGTGTGTGTTTAGTATTCTGACGAGAGCATGGCCTACAGGACAGAGCAATTTTGTTTGATTCCGCTTCGTGTTTTGGTCTTGCGTGTGTCTTCGTTTCGTCTTTCTTACTTTTTATTTTCACTGCCATGGGACAGGACAGTGACGCTTGCTGATACTGTCAAGCGCTGTGGGTGTAGTACTGTACGTCCGCAGATGATGATGTTTTTTTTTTTTTTTTTTCTAGGCTCTCCCGCTCGTTTCGAGAGAGGGGCTCGGAAGGGGTGCGTGCGTGTTCTCTCTTCCTGATGATGTGCAAATATATTGTTGAGTCCCTCGACGCTGCTTCAGGGAGGACTTTGCAAGATTCGTCGAATTGTCGCGGTTGTATATTTGCATAAGAAAGTGTCTTTTATGCCCTCTGCCTCGTGATTCCGTTGTGGTTTGGTTGTTCTTTTTGTGTCTGTCATCATGGAACAGGCCGGTGCGGTGACTCTAGGTCGTGCGAGTATATGGCGGAGCTGCGTGTTGTAGGTCTGTTGTTGTTTCTAGCTCTGTCGAGGGACAAGCGGGGCGTGATGCCTCGATTGTGGTGTTTTTTTGTCGTGCGAGCATATGGAGGAAGAGATGCGTGCAGCCCGCTGACTAGATCAATCGTATAATAGCGGTGGTGACACGATATTATGCATAGAACGCCGTGGTGTGTTAAGTTCCTTGCTGTTTTTTACTCTCCCGCTGGTTTCGAGAGGCTCAGCGTGCGTGTTCACGCAACTGTGTATATTATTGAGTCCCTCGACGCCGCGTCAGCGAGGACGTTGCGAGAGTAACCGAGTGGTCGCGGTAGTCTGCGCATAGAAAAAAGAGACGCGGTCTTCTTGTGCCTTCTGTTCTGTGACGCTGTTGTGATGAGCTTGTTGTTTTTGCCGTTGTCATGGGAGATGCGGGTTTAGCGACTCTCTCGGTTGTATATCAGTTGTTATGTGTGTGAAATGAAAAGAGCGCCTCTTGGCTATACTGCAGTTGTCTGCGCATACTGATGGTCGGTGTCTGTTGTTTATGTGGGTTTCGCTTTACAAGGTAATACCCAAGGAACTATAGGATATATCAAGCCACACCATCTCATACTTCAAGTCTGTGGTGGGCGTGCCGCCTTCGCGATGTCGGCAGAGCGAACGAGCCTGCCTATCTCGCACGTTCGACGGCCCAGCCAGTCAAGAGTATTTAATAGCACCTTAGCAACCCCACGTTCGCGAACGGGCCTGTCCATCCCAACCTCTCGCAAAACGATCTTGCCAACCCCACGTTCGCGAACGAGCCTGCCAACCCCACGTTCGCGAATGACCTTGCCAACCCTACGTACGCGAGTAAGCCTGTCAACCCCACTTTCGCGAACGAGCTTGCCGAGCCCTCATTCGTGAACGAGCCTTGCCAATACCACCTTCCTTCGAGAACGAACTTGGCAATCCCACTTTCGCGAACTATCCTTGCCAATCACACGTTCGCGAACGAGCCTGGCAATGCCCCCCTGACGACTAAGCCTGACAAACACATCACAGGGAATAAGTTTGTATGTCAAACCTTTTTTTTGTCAGGGGTTGCCGAGGTTGGTTACTGGACAGAGGTTGCAACCCAATGCACTCTTCAGGGGCGCGACCTTGCCGATGACCCCCCCCCCCCCTTGCAGGAGCGTTCCCAAGGGGGTTCGACCTCCACCTGTGTAGATGAAGCACGATTTAAGGGATAGTCGCCATCCTCGCTTAAACCGTAGCCGCTACTGTATGCATAGGGCATGACCCAATGAATCCATCCTTTCGCCTGCCTGTTGTTGTTGTTGTTGTTGTTGTTGTCTTGACATTAAAAACCTGTGGGTAATATAAACCTACAGCGGGCAGATAGCGGACCAGGTTACCAACTCTGGCACGACTCGTATCGTGTTCGTTTAGTTCTACCTTTAGGGTAGTGGCGGGTATTAAAGGCCACTTAAGCCACCCCCTGTGCTAAGAGCTTGTTCTTGAGCAGGACATCGAATTTCGATGATATTGTGGTATCGAGCGATAGGTAAGATCACCCCCCGCCCCCCCCCAATCTAGGCTTCAGTGGGTTGGCGCTGTTGGCAAAGCGCTGTAAAACACGCCACCCCAAA